GGCGCAGCGGGCGCAGACCCTAGCCTGGGCGCCTCAGACACACCCACCCGCGGCTGCCCTCATGCGCCTCCCACCCACCAAACACACCCACGCGCTCAGTCGCGGGCGTACAGGCACCTCCACAGGGCCACGAAGACGCCCGAATCCTGGTGTCAGTAAGGTCCTTCTGGAGTCATCTAATCTATGCCCCCTGTCTGCAAACTGGATCAGACCGCATCCCAAGTTCAGGAAAGCCTTGCTCCGGTGAGGCCCTCCCTGCTAGGCAGGACTTTCTGAAAGCCCTCCAGAGTTACTTTTTAAAGAATTATATACACCTCACTCTGGAAGGTCTTTGATATACCTGGACTTAGGCTCTACGCTGTTAAATAGGCTCCTGCAGACCATCTGCTCGACTCTGAGAACGCAAGTCTATTAACCTCAGCCCTTTTCTCCCACCAGAAAAAGCGACCCTGATATTTGTTTAGAAATGCAACTACTTGACACCCAGCCCTCAGTAGTAAACTTGGTGCACTTAGTTCCCACTCCGAGGACCAGGACCGGCAGATGCACATAGTCCACTGGACATCCCCACCTCCCTCCTCCTGAGATCTAGGTTTTTGTTTGTTTGTTTGTTTGTTTGTTTTTTGTTTATTTTTTTTTAAGTCCAACGCTGGGTCACCAGATGGCATGGCAGTTAAGGTGTTGGATTTCCACATGGCCTGTAGCGTTCAAGTCCTAGACCTCCTGGCTTATTTTCTCATTTTCTCTTTCTGTCTCTCTCTGTTGAGCATGCATGCCCTGCAACAAATTAAAAAATAATAATAATGATAAATAAAATAATTATTTAAAAATAAAGTCCAAAACCATCCTCACCAGTCTCAAGGAGACTGTGGCTTCTAGCTTAGAACAGAATCTTCTACCTCCAGGTCAGCATATGAGGATGAAGGAGTGACAGAGACCCTCCCATGTCCTGGGAGCAAGTCCAGATGAGGAATCAAAAACCCAGCTCTGGTTCTGCTCTTACCCAGGTAGCTGTTGACAGGTTATTCTAGTCCCTGAGGCTCAGTTTCCAGGCCTAGCAGGGAAGGTGGGCCAAGGGCTGCTCACTCTCAGGGGTCCGGAGTATTGGCATCTCTGGAATCATGTAGCCTGAGGCTACTGCTTGGAAGAGAAAATTCGTGAATCAGGCATTGTGTTTTGGTAGGTCAGTTAAAAATTCATTTTTGTTCCTCTAGACCATTTCCTCATTTCACCCTATGTTGTTCCAGTCTCCTCTTTCATGGGCATATGTCCCAGGGTTCAGTAGAAAGTCTGATACCTGGTAGGCCCTCGGTACATATTTGGCAAGAATGATGAAGCTCAGCCTAAAGCCGACTTAACCCAGGAGAGAAGGAGGAGTAGGAACTCATGTTTATTGGGCAGCTATTATGTTTGGGGCACTTTGCATGTGCTTCTTCCCATACTCCTCACACAGCTCTGTGGATTAGTGATCATTCTCCATCATCCAGAGAAGAAAGCAAAGGCTTCCCAAGTGTAAGGTGTTGTCCCAGTATCCTCCACCCATAAGAAAGGGCTGGAATCCTCCTCACACCCAGACCGGGAGCTCAGAACTCCACAGTGCACACAGATTCAACAACTTGATCTTATTATCATTGTTAAAATTGCTTTCTTTCTTCTATGAGCAAAAGAGAGAGAGAGGCACCCCCAATACGATCTTCATGCTGTGACCCACCTCCACTTCAGGCAGCCCAGCTCATGAGCACACATATGTTTGCCATACCCAGGGAGGTCCCAGATGTGAACCTAGAACCTCCTCACGTGAGTCAGTCTTGCAGAGATAGTCACTGTCTAGCCCATGCTCTTACCCACATTCTTCAGTGGTTTCCTGGGTCTCATAGGCCCTTCCCTCCCTGCCCCAAGACCATCCCTTGAATGTGTGGTTCAGGAACTACACTGAGTGGTTCCAATCCTGGCTCTGCAACTTTCTGTCTATGTGACTTTGAGCAAATTGCCTTACCCCTCTGAGCCTCAGTCTCCACGTATGAAGAATGAGAATAAGAAAAATACCTACCTCAGAGTTATTGAGAGAATTGAAACAGTTAATTAATGAAAAGGCCTTGGGAAACAGCTGATTCATTAGGAAGTCAGCTAATGTTAACTATGGATGCTTTAGACCTTCATCACCATGCTGTGGCACTCGATGAGACAAGTGGGCAGTGGTATAGGGGGCTTAGGTTCAAAAAAGAGGAAAACCCAAAGATTATTCACATATTTATCCCCAAAGCAGAGATGGGAACTGCCCTATCCCTCCCACAACCCCTAGACTGTCCTGTTGTGTCTTCCTGTCCTATATAAAGGCTGCACATAGCATTCCTGATTCCTGAAAAACATTTTCCAGGTAGACACTTACTTCATTTGAATTCCTCAGCCCTGCGTACTGCCGTCCTAAAGAATTTTTGCCCTTGCAGAATCTAGGCAGGAAAGAAACAAAGAGGAGCAAATATTGGAGACCCAGGATTTTGTCTTCAAAGGCCACAGGCTTTCCTGCCAGCACCTTTGGCATTGCAGAGAGGAAGCACTTCCTCCTAAGGCCAGCCATCCACCAGATGGCAGGGACAAGAGCTAAAGCAGGCAAGTGCAGTCACCCTCTGCCCAGCAACCATGGAAGCTGTGAGGTCCTTCCCTGCCCTCCCTTCTTCCCTCCCACTGTGACAAGGCCAGACACAGTGGCCTGCTGGAGCGTTTGACACACCCCCTCATCTGCCTGGCTTCTGCTCCTCCTGAAGGATCCTCGTCATTGGTGACTGTCTTCTCATCAATATTAATTATGACCTTTATTAGCATATTGTCTTTCATTTAGACCATGGTTTTACATTTCCGGTCCCACTCAGAACACGAATCCACCCTCAATTGTCTGTTGTAATCCAGCCGGTGTTTCTTTTACTAATGTTGATTGACAACCTACTATGTGTCGAAATGTCACCTCCACCTTCTCCCCTCATAAAGCCCTGTAGGCTGTGACATGTGAGAATACTTCAAAAAGTTTGTAGAAAAATGGAATCAAAGAAAAAGATGGAATCAAAGAATGAGTTTATTTTGGCATAGAAAATATTTGAAACCCATGCATAATTTCATAATATGCAATTTCCAACAAACTTGTTGAAAACTCCTTGCATAGTTTATTTGATCACATGCTTTCTTACCTGTCTCATCTGGTCAGGTAATCAGCCCTGACCCCACTCTTCAGTCACCTACACTAGGGTCTTCAATCTGGGATGCTTGTCTTCTGCTCATCTTTCTGAACTCCCTAAATATCCTTCAAGTTCCAGCTAAGTGTAACTGCCTAGTCTGACATCTTCCCTAACCTCTTCCCAAGCAGAGTTGACAATTCCTACTTTGAATGTACATGTCTCTGCCCTCCTATCTCATATGAGCAAACATTTGCTTACTTGTTAACCTCTCCCACCAGACTGTGACCTCCAGTGGGTTACTCATACTCATTCATTTGTTCAGTGTGTTGTGTCATTTATTTGTTCAGTAAATATTTATTGACCCTTATTGAAAGCCAGGCACTGTGCCTCATGCTGACTGTGCAGTGGTGAGCAATGGAGTCCCGACCCCTTCTAGTCCGGCTGCCCTACGCAGCTCCCTCCATCTCTTTCCACCTGTACTACTTGAGATAGCACCTAAACCACTGCTATCAGTCTTGGCTATTTGTTGACATGTTTTCTCCAAATTAGACCTGCCCACAATGAGACTGTAAGTTCTTTAGAGACATCATCTTGAATACATTAGTGAATCTCCTGCCTCCATCCTCCAAGGGGAAGTACAGTATGAGATGAGGTCACAAAGGCAGTCAAAGGCAAGATACCACAAGTCTTTGGAGTCCATGTTAAAAAGTATAAATTGGTTAGGCCCCATAGTACGATGATTAAGTGCTGCACATAGGAAGCTGGATTCCACATGACCAGCTACAGTTCAAGTCCTGGCCCTGGCAGCTTGAAAAACATGCCGGGTGTACATGCATGCCTGTGCAAAATCCTCACAGAAAGGAGGAATGGAGGGAAAAGGACTTTAGCATGACCATGCCCCACTGAGGTGTATTTTCACTCCCTCTCTCTCTTTTTGCTGAGTGCATGCCAGGAAAGGTAAAACTTCTATCCTAGTGGAATTGAAAAGGAGTTTTAGCAG